AAAAAATAGATAAAAATTGTGATAGGTCTCGCTAAGTTATTGAGTTGCCCAGACTCCCCGCCTCCCCCCCGTTGCAACCTTGCATTTGCCAGGGAAGTGCTTAAGCTGCTGAGCCATATCCCTGCCCTGGCCTCAAAATTGTGATCGCTTGCTTCAGCCTCCCAAAGTGCTGGGATTATAGTCATGTGCCACCGTGATAATCTTGTTTTAAAGCTATATGATTAGTAACTTTAATTCCATCTGCAACTTTTAACTTTTTTTAGCCTTGTAACATAATGTACTCACAGATTTGAGGGATGAGGAAACTCTTTGAGGGCCATTATTTCACCTGCAGTACCAACTAGGCATTCAGCCCTTTATTTTAGTAGGGCCTGGTGGTGCAGGCCTGTGGTTCTGGCTACTCGAGAGGGGACGCTGAGGCAGGAGCATCACTTGAGCTCAGAGTTGAAACAACATCACGAGGTCCTATCTCAAAAAAAAAAAACAAAACAAAACATAAACGGGCCCCCTCCCCCAGTCTTTGTTTTTCGCAAAGGACCATTGGCCGGTTTCACCAGTCTTTGAAGGAAGGGGGGCAAGGACCCCTTCTTTCTTCTTATTAAAGGGTGGTTGTGTTTTAGTGTCCATGCCGAGCCGAGTTAAGACAGTGTCCATGCGGGCTCCTGTGTGTGTTCTCCAGATGATCAAGAAGTCCCGGGCCACCGAGATGGCTCTGGAGAGCCTGAAGCAGCAGCTGCTGGCCCTGCGTCACTCTGAGGCCCTGCAGCGAGCCAGAGAGCAGCATGAGGGCATCGTGGCGGGCCTCACGAAGAAGTACGAGGAGCAGGTGTCGTCCCTACAGGCGAATCTGGACGCCACCGTCGCGGCCCTTAAGGAGCAGGTGGGGATGCTCTCAGACGGTTGCCAGCAAGAAAAGCTGGTGATGTTTTGTACCTGACATTTTGCGGTTACTCACGCAGAAATCTTGGTGGGCTTTAGAGGTGTTAGAGTGTAAGTGAAACCTCAGAGCCAGTGAACCTCCAGCTGTGGCCTGAAGGTGCAATTTCGGGAGCCCTTCTTTCTGCAGGGCTGCCTGGTACTCCCTCCAGGTTCCTTACTGGCCCGGTATTCTTCTATGCCTCTTGTTCATGTTGCCCTAGAACAGGCCCCAGATGCGAGTGCTGGGTGCTGGTGGCCCTGGGGTCTGAACCTCCAGAAAGCCTTCCACAGGCTTCCCAGCATCTGGGAATTCATCTGTCAGTTAGGACTGTTGGAAAGTGGCTTGTGGGGAGAGAGGTAATCTTGAGAACACAGGCTGAGCATTGCCAGTCTGAAATCGGAAGTCCAAGATGCTCCATGTGGGTGACATGGCAGCTCGATGGAAAATGGCGCCCCCAACCCCAAAACACGTGTGCTAAAGGGCCGTGTAAAGTGGCCTCGGGCCCAGGAATCCCACATCTAGGCCTGGGCCCCCCGCTCGAGGCACTTCGTTATGTTTATTCAGATATTGTAAAATCGGAACATTTGGGGTAAAGCGTACCCAGCCAGCAGTGTCATACGTAAAATAGAAAAGGAAGTCTGATCTAAGCTCAGCTGAGATTTGAAACTTGGGCATATTTTAGTCATTTATTTTTGTGTAAAAAGGAATAAAATAAGCTGAGGTCGAATTAGGTAGTGGGGTTACTTGTGCTTTAAAACCCTAGATGGTCATTTAAATGAATACAGTTTGAGAATTCATTTTCCCTAGTGTCACTTTGGAATTAATACACTCCAAAGGGAAGGGAGAAAATAAGACACGAAGGTACAGGAAATCCTGCCACCCTAACGTTCATCCTGACTTGGGTTGTTAGTTTTGACTGATGTAGCTGACTTAATTTTCCATGCTTTTAGGGAGAGCTATGTGAGGTTATATCACTAACAGTACTAATTACGTATGTACCATTTTATTTTTATATGTGTATGTCTCTGTAAGTTTTTATAGGTTCATTTTTGCCAATCATGTTTTTATAGAAAAACAGCGTGTGCTTGATCACTGTGGGGCACAGAGGTGGGGAAAGATGAACACTGCCACCTTCTAGGAAAGTGCGTAGGATATTTAGCCAGATAGAATGGGAGATGCTCTCGCTCTTGCGCGCTCTCTCTCTCTCTCTCTCTCTCTCTCTCTCTCTCTCTCTCTCTCTTCTAT